GCGACGCCGGCGTCGTGGCGCCTCGAGTCGGCCGCTCGAGTAGCACACATGCGCTGCTCGATACCGATGGCCGCGATTCGTCGTTCGCGCCGTCTGTCTTGAGCGGGATATCCTACGGTGAGCGAGTTTGTCCGATGAATTTTCATTATATCAATCGAATCTGGTTTTTGATTATTTTTACTAGAATAAGCTGCCACTTAGCGTTTCTCTGGTTTGATTAATTGGCCTGTGATATCAACGAATGAATTGTTTTTAAGAGATGTGAAAGATTTCGTTCGGTTATTTGGATAGAACTAGGTTTCGTCTCGTTGCGCTTAAATTTTAAATTAAAATAGTTCCACAAGTTTATATATAGTTAAATATGAGTTTCAGGCAATCTGACAGTCTTCCAATCTAAATTTCTAATCTAAACTCCTGCCATTTGTTTCGGCTTATCTTACGAAATAGCACAATGTGGAGAGCGTCGTTCTATTTAAGCTCAAATATCATTCCCGAAATCGAGAAAATATTGTTGCCCGAATGGTCGTGGCAAACTTTTGCAATCGAACTTTCAACGAAGTTTCATGCGACAGAGCTTCGGAGTTACGGAGAGCAAATTATTTCGAAACGATTTAAATTAGAAAGAAACGCGAACAGAACTTTCGAACATTGCAGGTTTCCACAAGCTACGGAGAGGGATGTTACGATAATTCGAACGTGATCGAACTAAATTTCAGGCTCGAGCGAATTCACTTCTATCAGATCCCGTACTCGAAAGTACATATAAACAAGAAGATGGGATAAGGAAGGATGGCAGAACACATTTACGTGCATGTCGAGCTAACTATGTAGTACATATTTCGAATGTAGGATACAATATGTGACCACTGGATGGAAAATCGAGGTGTGGCAGCGTTTACTGGAAAATCGAAGGCAATTACTTCTGTAATACGCTTCGTAAAATTCAATAGATTCGACTATCGACAAGAGAAATCGTTCATCCGTCACATTGTTGTATCTTCCGTATAACAATACATCAGATAAATTTACGAATATATCTTTTTCGTGACCGAGCAATTTAAATATTAGATAAATTCCTGGAATCTTGATCACGTGAGCTCGTTTACCGTAGCTTATTCTTTCATTTTACGATAAAATTACATTCGCTATGAAAAGTACGAAACACTTTTATTTTTTAAATTATAAGTTTGAATTTATCAATGATATAGGATATTTTATCCTTAAGTAAGTATCTATGAATACTACGATTCTGTTTTCTTATTTATAGTGTACAGAATTCTTCCAAAACAATATCGTTTATTAATCGTTGTTAAACAAATTTTGCCGTCTGCTGGCAAGATGTCAGCACAGGGCGACTGGTAACATCGTCTGTATCGACGGACAGTTAAATATCGACATTAAATCCAAGCTCGAATAGATATCCACCGTTGTTGTGTTCGTATGCACTGCATCTCATCTGTGATTGGCAATCATGTTCTTTGGAATATCGAATTTTACCATCGAAAGCTACCCTTAGTTAAATGTGCACATGAGATACATAATAAATATTATCATACTATAAATTTTGTTACACGAACTGAAATACCGACTGTATTCCTCTCTTACTCTGTCCTTACTTATTATCATGTTTCTTCTCATTTCTCATCCTTTTTACGCCCTCTCACTGCTTGTTTTTCTAAGATGCATAGATGACATTGTAAACTATATTAATATACTATAGAAATATATTTAATATTTGAAACATTGGTTGACCCTTATTGTCGAAAAACGCTTTCAGTATTGCGTTTGTTGCGATAGTTAAGTAATTCGATCGTTGTCCAATTAATATACATTTTAGTAGTAGAATCGGTGTAAATTTTTATTTCGAATATTATATCTTACGGAAACGGTTAAAAATTTGGAGTTTATCTCGTCGTTGTTACGTATGCTAATTTACAACAGAAAATATCGTTCGAGATAACTAAAATCTACGACATTGATTATGTTTGACATTATCATAAATCGTAATGTCGCTATCGATTTGTTTCATTACGAAGTGAATCGTTCTTCTTATAAAAGGTATAACCTTTTACATATTTATCGCTATTATTTTTTATTTATCACAGTGCTATGTTCTTATAATAATCATCCTAATGAAACATGAGAATTAAAATCTTAGCGACTAAAAATCAGATTATAGATAATTAACGGAGCTGAGAAGCTAATTACATATGTATTTATAATATAGTTAATTAGTTGTTAATAAGCATAAGAATAAAACGTTACATTCCTAAATCAGCTATCATTCATCGACATATCTACGCTTCAACAAGCTGTATCGTAATTTATGGTGTTTCTATTTTTACCATCGTATAACCGCTAACTTGTCAGATTACACGCTATCATTGACGTAGCTAAATGTGGACCAGATTTATCTCACGAGCAAGAAGTCAGTAGCAGCATATGTACATTTTAGTAACAAATCTTTGTATTCGATAAAAACGTATAAAAAAATATAATACATTTCTTGAGGATTGCATAATTTCACGTGTTTCTCTAAGAAATGTGATAAATCTCGCTAATAAAGATACTTTGATGTACTTTCCCCTGCAAAGTTGAATGCAACGGTTGACACTAACAGAAAGTAAGAACTCAAGAATAAATTCACGTTTGTATACTCAAAAGTCGATTCCCAATACAGGTGAAAAATTTGAAATTATTTTCCCAATTGTATCCATATCGAGATTTGTTTGAATTTTATTACTAATTAAAATTCCTATCGAATAATATTACAATTATCGATAGTAGTTTCCTGTATTTCGATTAATTTCAAACGAAATAATTTCATAAGAAGAAAAGAAAAACCTAAACCGATTATTTTTTTAAAATAACAAAGTAAGCGCTATCGAGCACTTTATCTTCTTTCGATAAATTTCTAACGAAATAATTTTCTAAAGTAGCAGAACTCGAGGCAGATATTTCTTTGAAACGCTACATTTATCAATAGTCATCTCTTTTCTTTTCGTAAATCTTTCCTGAAGGAATTTCCTAATATTACTGAATTTTAAGGTGACTTTTTTTTAAAATTCTTAATTTCTACGGAACTTTTGACCAATAATCCATGTTTCAAAATATTCGTAAAAATACGAAAATGGATCAGAAATTAACTTAATTAGATCAGATGGTTTGATGAAATAATTAAATTCATAATTTATCACGAACATTGAATCGCTACGCCATTGGATAGCCAAGGCAAAGTCTAGTCAGGGAACAACTAACTTGTATGCATCGGATTTCAACCCGTAATAGAATTATTTTCCCTTGCCCCCGATTGATTTCTAGGCAGTGTCCAGTACTGCGTGCAGTGTCTCATAGGTGAGAACTCGTGTAAATAGTTAAAGGGAATGGAGAAAAATCAGGAGTATGAACGAAAGTAATCACTATTGTTGATTTTTCGATCAATCGTAAATTTAATAAAAATCGATTTTCGACGATAAATCTGATAACAGTTAGATAGTAAATCTAAGTGTATCGTTTATTTTGAAGTCATAGCCATAAAAAAAGTCTCGCTAGTTTTACGACTAAATTTAAAAAATGATATTCTTCACTGCATGTGCGATATGAAATATCAAACGGAAATTACATCAAGTGAGAAAGTATCGAACGTTGAATTTATTATTTTTTAAGTGACAAGATTTATCTTCGTTTTAAAACAATTAAGCAAATTCACGAGATTATCGAGAAATGTTCTATTGAGTCTTCCATTTACTTCTTTCATTTCCTTCGTCATAACTTTATTTTATTGATCGTAGAGAATCTCTTCTTCTTTAGGGGATTGAATTTTTCCAAATTGCATCGAATTCGTATAATTTCAAGTTATTAATTATTTCAAATTAAATACTTCAATAGAAGAAAAATATTTGTGGATCTCTTGCGAGATTTCGCTGAATTTATGAAGAAACAAACTCGATAACCTCTAACCCTACCGAAATTTATTAATGTTCATGAGTCATATATAATTAGTATCTAGTCTACCTCTGGATTCTGCCAAAGGAACATGTACGATTAATCGCGTGTAAGATTAAACGCGGTGTATTTTCTTCAAAACCGAGCCACGTTTCAACAAAAATCTGTATTTCTTCTTATTCAAACTCTAATTTATTCGAATAAGAAATAGATGGTGATTAGAAGCAAATTAATTGAGCAAACCGGAATTTATTCTTTAAATTCTTTGTCGTCATCGCTATTTCAATTTCAATTCGAGTGTAATTAATCTGCATGCTTACGAGAGACCTAATCGCGTCTTATTTGCCACCGCATAAACTTTCTTGTTATTGTTATTTTACAAAACTTCGCATCTGAAATACGTGAAATCTCTTCAGCTATCTAACGCTCATTTCTATTGCGATGTTGCGTCAGCCAATGATCGTGAGTTATCATTAAGTTCTCTCGAACATAACGAAGTGGTGCGAGCCATCGATCGTGTTTCTTTTTAGACGTAGCAACGCAGCGACCAAAAGCATGGATCTCCTCGGTCTAACCTTCCAGTCTCTGGATTTCAGGGACAATAAACCTCAAGAAAGCGATTTCCTTGACTTGGAAAACCAAGAATGCGAGGAGTCTTCCGAACAATCTAACAAGAAACCATGGAAAAAATCTAAGGAAGACTTGTCGTCGTGTATCGAGACCGAAAACCAACATCCAAACCAACATCCAAACCAACAACTGAGGATGATTAGCTTGGACGAAGTTGCGTGGCATGACACTGCTAACAATTGTTGGATCGTGATACACGATTTTGTTTACGACTGCACAGAGTTGTTGAAGAACCATCCTGGTGGATCAGACGTGATTCTTGAATACGCTGGCAGAGACGCGACTTTGCCGTTCATTGGCACTGGACACTCTTCTATGGCGAGGCAGAGCTTAGAGAGATACCTCATTGGTGAACTTCCGCTCGAAGAAAGAATCTTTCGTGTATCCAACGGTGTCAAAGTCGCTGGACTTTAATGTATAATTACGTTTGATATTCTATTTGTTAGATGATTTTTGTTCAAAGACACGTTATAAGTATATATAGTGTTTTGTGTGTGTGTGTGTGTGTGTGTATGTGTGTGAAGATCTCGAAATTGTGAAATTTGACCTAACATTAATCTTATACAGTATGAAGGTTTTGGAATTGCAAACCGCGATAATTACGCGATTAGACATAAAGATCAAAGACCAAGGCTAATTTCAGTTTTCCCGATACTCTTAGTCTTACGACGAATTTTTCCGTATGCTGCCGTCCTTTTATGCATTACGCCATTAAATATCTGTATTAAGTGTATCAAGTTCCTACGTTCTCTTTTTACAGTAATAGAATAAAGAAATTTTATGAAGCCGTTCCTTAAATCGACGAAAGAAACGTATCTTTAATGTTAATGTTTTATCATCTTTTGATACTTAAACTGCGAATATAAGCACAAGCACAAGCACATCGCTATATTTGTGAAATAGATTTATTACGAAATCAATATCGCGTCGCATAATTGTAGTGGATGATGAAATGTTTAAATGTTATAAATTCTACGAATTTCTATTCTTTCTGTTTATAACGTAGGATTTAAAAATACATTTATTATAGTTCAAAACACTCTAAATGTAGAATGACTTTCAACTTGTTATTTCAGGCATTGAACTGGATTCAGTCGAATTTAGTATAAGATAAAAATATTACCTACGTTCGATCGAAAGGAAATTCAAATATAAACTGTAAAATATAACTTATAAATAGAATATAAATTATAAAATATTGAATAAGCTATATGATATAACGTATGAAAATATAAATATTCTTTGCCTAGCAATAAATCAACAATCTCATTACTATTCTATGTTGAAAGCAATATTACGAATCACTCATTAATACCCGAAAACCATGCACACGAGATTCTAATTCATGCACTGTTTCACACGTTTGTTCTCGTTCGAAGCGGAATTCAAATAACGATGACGAATTAACTATCAGCGTGTATTATAATTTCACCGCGGCATCGCGCACCGGTTCACCGCGTTGCTAATACAGGACTATCGTGCCAAGTACAATTAATCGATGCAATAAGCAGCGAGTCACGTGAAAACGCGCAATTCATGCTTAATTATCCCCGGTGACGATCTTTATTTGTAACGTCGATATGCAAAGACGATAACGAGGCTTTAATTGTTTCTTCTCATTGAGCTGTTGCATCGGTTCGCATCATTTGACGCGCGATCTCTCGTTCGTTTGATCGGCAACCGGCATATTAACGACGTAGAATAATCCGATGTCGTGTCGGAAAGTAACATTAAATGTATTAATAAAGCTCGCGTAACATCGGTCTCGGAGCGATTAACCGAGAAAAAACGCGTGTCTACAGCTCGTCCAAACTGAAACAGAAAATTCTACACGCATATAAAAGTTTGTAGTTCGGTGGAAATTTGTATCGTGTTGTGTGATAATTATTAGACGACGGATATTTATCAATTTGAAATATGTCGACGTATACAGATACATACAAAATATACAGATAACATACTAATGAAATTTCCACACATTTCGTATATTCATAATAGGTGTCTTGGAATCTACTGTCGAATAATTTCGTGAGCCTGTGTATATGTATCTCATGCAATATTTTTATTTTTTTAAAAATTATATATGCTTCTATTAATATACGTATAGACTATATAAACTGTAAAGCTTAGCTTTCATCGGGCACGATGTATTTGTCGAGTTAAAAGCAAAGGAAGCGCGTGCAAGGTCGATAAATCAGCTTTTCGGAGCATCGCCCCAATTGAGTCGGCGTATACTCACGGGAACCGTCTGGGTTATTGCAAGAGGTGTTTCATTCTTTAATTAGACACCGTGAAATTAGATACGTTCGGTGTGTCTGCGGTTGCGGGTTAAGGTATTTAAGTCACGCCTTCCTGATCATCTTACATCGTTCCATCTAGCACTCGTTTTTTCGTGCCCATTTCGCGACTGTACCTTTTGGTTTCTCCTATATGTACAAGTGACAAGCGCGTTACGCTTACCACGACGATATCGTTCAACGTCGTGCTGCAAACGTACATCTCAGTATTAGGAATTTTCACTTGTGCGAACAACGAGAAATTTCAAAAATCATTGGGATTTTCTTAAAAACTCGGGAACTATTATATTTCGTTTGAATTCTTTGGGATATAAAGAGGAATAAAAGGGGAATAAATGGTACGCTTTACATCGGTACATTATATTTCTTGGTCCTCTAAACATTCATAATATACACAACATACAATATGACATAGCGGTTCAGCTTTGTTTAGTTTCTCGTTCGAACGCGGTACCGATAGAACGTTGTAATTAAGTTTCTCGTTACTTGCGAACGTTGCTTTTCCCTCCGCCACTATTTCTTCCTCCAAGTATCTATCGTGTGCCATTGTGCACAAGGGCAGGAGATAGATCAACATTCACGGAAATTAGTAGGAGATATACACAATGATGAGAAAAATATTTCTATATCGGAGTAATGCGTCTACTAAATACCATCGTAGATTCTGTTCTCTTTTTTTTTCTTTTCGTCTTTTTCTTATTTAGTTTACAACGCTACGTCTCTTATCTCGTACTTTGTATGGAAACACTTGACCATTTTTCACTTTCGCTCATATTCTCGTTGAACGATTTCTCTCGTTTCGTCTTCGCTTACGGTTTCGGATTAAATTAGAAAATTTCGTTCAGTCAAATTCAAATTCGGAGAAACGATACGTTACGCTCACCAATCCAATAATAAGAATCGCCTGGTTGCTTGCATTGTGCATGCTTTATTCACAAGACAATGTTCGGACGATAAGATTTCCGCGCTATTTTAGGAGAATCGTAAACAATGCAATCGAGGAAAAAGGAAACTTTTCATTTCTCGCAACTCGTTTCACGCAAGATTCACGTTCAAGATTAATAAACAAGATAATTAAAGATAAACGATTACTTAATAAGCGTAAGGTGTTTATAAACGCCGACAAGCGAAGAGTTTCACAATTCAAAGACCGAAAAATATTCAATTTCGTACGCTCGACGAAACGATTCCATACATACGATGCAATGCGAGCTTTCTCGTTTAAACGACGGTTGAAACACGCAAATTGACACGAATTAATCTCGTGCGGGAGAACCTATGCATTTTAGAAGTTTCGCGCTCTTTGGCAGTCCTGGGTTCCATTCCCCCTGCGGTTAATTACGCTGGAAGTCAAGATGCTCCGAGAAATAAATCCCCTTCGACGCATCATTGTTACACCTTCTTTTACATTTATTATCTCTTTATCGCGTGAACGATAAACTGTGTGCGCTTAGACGTACATGTATCATCCGAAGAGACGATTTTCCTGTCGCTGTCGTTATTATAAACGCGAAGAATAATTTTAGTCCTGCTACGATCTTTCAATTTTTACTTTATAATCTCACGTTTCAATCGTAAAGATCTTAAGGGACAAATGTATATA